ATCAGATATTATAACGCCTCATCCCCATGGAAACTTCAAACGCTACATAAACTTCTGCAGCGAAGCGAGTCKGGAGAGTTTGTATATGAACTACTTTCGAAAGCAGCAAGGCTGTATGAAATGGAAATAAATACGAATGATTTGTTGAAAGATGAAAGCCACAAATTGATGAGCAGCGTGTGATGCCTTGAAAGGCAAATACATTGACGAACTGATGGGTCGGAGCACAGGATAGCAAGACACCATGTGAACGAGCGACCATACACATACATATGTATGTGCACTCGCTAGGTCAATAGTTCAAATTGTAAACAATTTTTTAGCGATCTAACGCATCAGGCAGCTCAAACCRCTGATGCCATGCTAGACATGGCCTCTCCGTGAAGCCTACACCACACATAATGTAAGATCAGCCCATGTTAGCACATAACACTAGTTTACTATGATAGTGTCAAGTAGTATAATTAATGTACATTCATATATGTATATACATATCTACGGTAAGTACATATATACATAAGGAAAAATAATCCAAGCAGCAATGTAGAGTATTTGAACGCAGCGTTGATAGACACACCTAGAGCATACTTTGTCAGGCAATGGACTCTCATATTGTCCAAATTTACATACATATATGATGCAGCGGAATAACTTTATCTGCAATTTATTTTAGAGTATAGAATGTATTCATTGTGTAGAATTCTAAACTCTAAATACAATATATACATATGTATAATAGTAAGCAATGTATTTCTCATACAAACGCTCAGTTTCTTTTGCTCAGCAGCTGCTGCCGTTAATTTGAATTGCATAAATAAGTGGTGCATCATCTGGCTTTATGTAAGAGCTCCCCCATCCATGTTGAACCATAGCCATTATAATAATACGCCAAGAGCTCCAGTCAAATCCTACACCAACTAGTACGCGATGTACTTATTCGAATACAAACTGTGGCACGTGTTTGTATGCTTGTATTTCTACTTGCTGGTGTTTCTGCTTGGCCTGCTCCACCTTGAAGCATGACAAAATGCCACTTCATCCGCTGTTGGTTCATGATTTGTACGCACGTTTACATAAAATAAAAACAAAAACAAATATAGCTGCAGGCATGCATCTCGGATTATGTTAAGGCATTAATTGTAGCCAGAACGGGCAACACTGCGCAAACCACTTCAGTTAACACCACACAACTCCCAGCCGTGCGATGTTCTTGGTTTGGTTGTTGCACACAAATGCACGCATACAAACTGCACTTAAATTGCAATTGAAGCCTTGCTATTGCAGCTTCTCTCACATGCCACGAAAACACCTATATGTGCATAAATCGGTACATAAATACATATGTAAGTATGTGAATATGACCGCACGCTTTATACTATAGCATTCTTCCTACTGGGTATTGGGATATTTCATATTGTACAAGTATATGTTACAAATAAATAAATGTTGGTGAATGGCAACCTGCGCATTTATGGTGGCAACACGCCGTTCTATCTGATGACTGTGATGATGATTATTCTCGCCTGGACCGTTATGCTGACATTACAAATGGAGGCGTAGTTGGTGGCGCTGGGGAATACTACCATAAAAAAGCTCGCATAAAGAATATTCAAATAAAACGAAAACACAAAATGCTTAGGAATGAAAGTGTTACATAAGTGCTGAAGTGCAACAAAAATTGCAACCATTTCGAATAATACCCTGCACGCTGCACATATACACGCACAACCCTAGATATGAAAAGAGAAGTGAATAAAAAATTATAATTACGATGTGTACAGAATTCGCCTGCACAATTTAAGAATCCAGATTGAGAAGCAAGAGCTTGGCTGACTTTGAATGCTCTATAACGCAGTATATTTACTTATGTCATGTCACCTATGTTATCATATAATCTCATCTCTTCATTTAACCAAAAAAAAAATTAAATTCAGGGAATTTTAAAAAAAAGTTACAGTTATTCAAAAATGAGTGAAGAAAGTGGAAATAATTAGAATTTTTTGTATAAAAACGAGAAGAATGCCACGCAAGCCACCAATGAAATTTGTGAAGTTTGCGGAGACGACCCTGTATCATTTCGTGTAGCACAACAATGCTTCGCTCGCTTCCGCTCTGGAAATTTCGAAATTTTGATTGACACTGATGGAATTATTATTATTATAAATATAAACAAAATTTAAGCTTGATTAAAAATACGAAAAGACTTTTTCGACTACCATCAGCCTGGGTGTTTCAAAATTTGTCTAATCCAACACAACTGTTATGTTTACAATCGATCTCGAAGATCGGAAAGTGAATGAAATGAGAAAATCTCTTTTTCTTCCCCTCATTGTTCATATTCATCAAGAGTACCTGAACTCGGTATGTCCTAGTGTTTCGCCATGCCAATATGCACTTATCAATATGCCACCACCTAATGCGAATAAGTAAGCATTGGTTCCACAAGTAGTTAGGGTCGAGTAACCATAGAGTATACACATCAGGGGATGCATAAACAACTTTTTATACACAAAATCATAACCTAACAACACTCGCAAGACAGACAGCAACACAACAAAACAAATAATTTATGCCGAGAGGTAGGTGCTCAGGTTTATTTATTTAATGAATGGCGAAATGACGGGAATGGCTGTCGTCTTTATTACGACGTAGCCAAAACTGAAAAGGCTCACACATCCGTGAATCCGACCATCGCCACAGACTTTACCTGTAACCACCATCTACAAGCGTACAAATATATGTTCATATGTATATTATAGCTAATGTACAGCCATACATATGTATATATTAAGGTATCGCACATAGCATAGCATCTGCAAATCTACCCCGTGTCACAGTTAACTTACTCACATACAGGGACCTCGTACCAGAGCTTACCAGACTTCTTCATTTATCAAGTATTTCTTACTTTCAGTTTCCTGTAGACTCCTTTCTTTTTTAAACCTATACACGCATAGCAACGTTTAATCCTACTTTTTATAAACCTCCTCGCTGGAAAGCCCTTCAGTGAATTTTGTTTTTTCGTGAACGTTGCCAAATCACCCGTAACGATGCCTTTAATAAATCTGGGGCCTTCAGCTACGTTCAAGCAACTGTTTTGCGACTTCTACTCAACATCGTTTTTGCAGGTCTATTAAATGGGTCATAAGATATTTCGATATCCGCTATCTCTCTGATGCCAACACGAGGATTTTCGAACACTGCTTCTTTAACAGCGGTGGATGGACGACTCGCATGAAAAATTTTTGGTGACTTCACGATCTTCACTGAATACCTAAGACAAGTCTGCAACAATTTCAATGATTTCCGTAACCGGGTAAAATTTGGAGTAACAATAACATAATGTTTAACAGCTTTATGAATACATTTAAAATGTAAATATGCAAAAACAATACAATAYTAATATTTTTAAATTTTTGGTCTGTGGTAGACCTGCTGGTGAAAATGTCCATATATATGTTGTTATTGCGGCCTAAAATGTTCCTCCCAACACCGGAAGAAAATTTGGATCTGCCCAGTTTATGTAGATCTAATCGTCATTGGAATGACGAGTGATGAATATAAATTTCGAAAACTTAGTAATTTCACTACTATGTCAAGAGATTGACTAATCCGTTTATACATAAATAAAAACATAAGATTTGTCGCCGGATTGAAATTTCTACATATTTATTTTAAATAATTCGTTTTTGGAAACATTTGTTTTTGTATTATTGAATACTGTTCGCTCTGTTTTACGAATGCCTATTGTAGTGTGGTTATCAAATAATAAAACGCAATTATTTAATTCCGGTTTGCAGAAACAAATCAGGAGCTTAATCGCTGAGCTAATTTAGCTCGATTTGTCTTATAAGAAGTAATTTTGCAGATACAAATGTATGATGTGTATAGGTATGGTGTGTATGTACTCGTAAATGTAAAAGTTATCTAAAAAAATTATATATATCGCAATGTTTTATATAACTCAATTAAAAAAAGGTGTTTTTATGGAGGGCGAAAAATTTATGTTACCTCACGAAGCCCAATTCTGCGATCTTCAGCATATGGGAAGTATATAATCAGTGCGAAAAACTAGTTTCGGCTTTTAACCCACTATTCATCAACCCGGGAATTCCTCATAAACACATGTATTTATGCCAAAAGTTTATATTTTATTTAAATTCTCRTTTCACCAGATCAAGATAGGTATAATTAAATTTTTATATTGTTCGGTTAAAATATTGTTCAATATTGGAATTGATTTATTACTGAATTTTTACCATTGCTTTTACTAAAATCTTCGCAATGATCTCTTCGCAAAAGAGGGTGGACCAAAGGTGTCCTACTGCCTAAATAATGAGAAAAACTAGATAAATAAGCTTTTATTCATGCTATACAAAAAAATTAGTTGAAGTTTGATTAGAAGTATGAAAATACTTTTTCGACTACCCAATATTTGAATTTCGGATTGCGGTTGGAAAGATGGTCCCACTTTCGAGTACAGTAATACGAGTTCAGGTTGTTCATGACAAAGGTTTTCGGAAATTATTCAAATTTTCGTTATCGAAAAATCCTTACTTCGATCGTAATCTTGTATTTCCTAACGCGACATCCGCTCGCACATACACATTCAACTATGAAGGGTCTTATGATCCACCCTGTATTTTGCATGCCCATCCACACATTTAAGCGGGCGCACTTGAAAATATTCCCGCGGCTCGACTTTGAAATTTATCAACGGTCTTACACATACTATGTTTTTTATATTTGATAAAAGTTGTATATTTATAATTCAGTTATTTCATTCATTGTATTTATTGTGTTTTTCTGGTCAGCTAGGACCGTTTTTATATTAATTTTGCGATTTTTTTTGTTTTTCTTTTTAAGTTCTGCTTGTCAGCGGTTGTGTCTGACGTATATATATTTTCAATTTTTATTATATTTGTTTAAAGTAGCAAAAAATCATTGAACATTTACTTTTCCGCCCTGTTCAACATTTTCTTTTACAAGCAATTCTATTCTCATGTTGTTGTATTTGTTTTATTACATTCAGAGAGTGGATGACAGAAATGAACCGTTCTTTTCGGTTGATATTAATATGTTTTATCTGCTTGAACAACCACACTCTAAATTTTTCATTTTTTCATACGCTTTTGCAATTTTTTTGTTTGATTTTTTCAATTATTTCTCTCTTACATACATGTTAATTACTTTTGTTTACCTAAGCCTGCCCAATCGCTTCTCAAATATATAGAATATGAAACTCTCTTCAATTCAACCAAATGCATTACAAATTAGAGCAACTTCAGAATTCGAATCCATTACAAATGTACACTGAAATGCACTTGCTTCAAGTAAATGACAAAAACAAATTTTTATTCAAGTGAAAAATATGAAAATTTGGTATTGTTTGCAATGCTTGTATGAGTTTAGTATGGTTGTTGTAGTTGGTGGTGGTTATAAAAAAAATATATTAAAGTTACCTCTCATCGTGCCAGAGAATATGAAACTATTATAATTTTAGGAAACTATAAAATTCAAAGCACAAGTGTGGCTGGTTTTCAGTTTTGTTTTTGTTTCTTTTGGCGTGCCACCTTTCGAATGCTTGGCTTCAATTCTTCTTCTATTCCAAGTTTAGATTTTTTCATTTTCATTTTCAGTTTTAGTTCTCGATTTTCATATAATCTTAATACACAGCAGTTTTAAAATTACTGTGCACACGTCACTTGGCAGCTTTGCATTACTCGCTAGGATGTTATATTGATTGTATGTTAAAAAACGATTGCATTTTGATTGGTTGAATTGAAAAGGTAATTAACTGAAATCAAAGCGAAAAGGCATGAATCTTAATTATTTGGGGAAAATCATAAAAGTTGAAAGTTGATAAAAGATTTTCAGCGAATGTTAAATGGTGTTACTTTTTAGATGTGGCTCTCATTATTCAATTTTCAATTTTTAAACAATATTACATATTTATATCGTATCTACCTGACGTTTTTTGTTCTGAATTGAATAATGAGCAACATTTTTGTGTTTTTTTGACTGTGAGGCTAGAAGCAGTATGAATAACATATGAGAAATTACGGAACTTTTTAGTTCGGCTAGCATGATGTGATTTCCATAAAGGTATTTTAATTAGTTGGCTCAGCAACACGATGAACCTGCAAAACGGCAACAGCTTCTTCAACTTTGGCTTTCAAAGCATCTTGATCCTCTATCATGTGCAACAATTCGGAATTCTCTATCTCTAATAACATTCCGGTAATCTTGCCAGCCATAAGTGGATGCATGCGCTCGATCATAGGATACAAGCGTTCACCCAAAATTTGTTTTTGTTCCTGTGGCTTGGCGTTAGCCAATAGAGAAGCAATCAGCTTCTCTTGACCTAAAAGAAAACAAAAGATTGTTTTAATTTCAATAAATTGTAGTTATTTTATGATGYGACAAACAAAGCAAAAAAATGTAACTTACCCTTCTGGTGCATTGGCTGCACTTGCGGTTGTTGTTGGACCGCTTGTGGAGGTGGATTGCGCATGTTAGCGGTATATTTATAGTTGGCAGCGCGTTGCTGAGCTCCGCCTGTAGTAATTGGTGCTCCAGCCATTGGAATATTACCCGCAGCAACTGTTTGCTGACCTGTGATAGCGCGTGCGCCAGTATTGCGCATTGTGTTGGCAGCAGCGGCTGCAGCGTGCGCGCCTTGAACTGTTTGCGGTTGGCCACGGGCAGCGGCTGCTGCTGGGCGGAACTGGGCGTTACCGGTTGCTGCCATGGCGGCGGCATTTGTAAAGCTGCCAGCAGCGGCTGCAGCGCCAGCCTGTGTRACACCTTGTACGCCAGCAGCAGGGCGCACCTGTGGTGCCCATCTTGGTGTGTTACGAATCGGTTGGGTCACTTGTGGACCAAAGAAACGTTGCCCTGGCGCCATGGTTGGTACGAAAAAGCCACCTGCGGCGTTTGGTTGGAATATTTGACCTAATTGTTGCATACGCATACCCGACATATGACGCATGTATTGTGATGCCAAATGTGCTTTACGATCTTCTTTACGTTGAGCCAAAGCTACATACAATGGCTTCGAACCGACAACACGTCCATTCACTTCAGTGACGGCACAGGTTGCTTCATTGGGCGAAATGAAGCAGACAAATCCAAAACCTTTGGAACGTCCCTCTTCATCGGTCATAACCTTGGCAGATGTAATGGTACCATACATCGAAAATTCCTTGCGTAGACGCTCATCATCTACACTGTCATCCAAGTTTTTAACATACAAATTAACGCCAAATACCGACTCTTGCCGTTTCTTCTTTAATTCTTCGAACTTGCGTTTTAATTCTTGTTGGCGTTCTGCTTTCTTCTGTGCACGAGCAACATATAATACCTTACCCTCCCCCATATCCTTTCCATTTAACGCGTCMACAGCGGCTTCAGCTGCTTCGGTGGTCTCATAAGCTACGAAGCCGAAACCTTTACTTTTCCCATCGTCTTTAACCATTACCTGTGGAAGAAATAAGCAACAATAGTCATATCGGTTATATTACTAAATTTACACATTTAATTTAACAATTATTAATATTAATTCCT